AGAAATCATTATAATATATGTCAAACTAGCAAAATTATAGTAAATTTGACAATTTACATAACAAATGGAAACTATTATAGTAGATGGAAAATAAAAGGCAAAATAGTAATATACAAAAAAAATTAAATCTTTTATGCCTAATAAATCTAAAATATATTTTATACCAAAATAAAATGTTAAATTAATGTTAAAATAGTTAAAGTAAAAAAAACAAAAACATATTTTTTTCTTAAACAAACAACCAATCAAAATATAACAGTTCACCATTTTTAAAAATATGTTAATATTTTCTTAAATATATCTTTAATATAAGCAAAATTAGTATTACATATACAATATAAATATTTAAAAGTGAACAACTTATTTAACAAATGACAACTTCTATAGTAAAACGAAAAATCAAAAGAACATAGTAATACTAACAAAAAAGAATCATTTCTTCTTAGGTATAATAGATCTAAAGTAAATTTCAAACGAAAGTAAAATGGTAAATTAATGTTAAAATAGTTAAAGTAACAAAAACAAAAACATGAAATTTTCTTATATATCTATATTATATAAAAGTTGCTATAAAGTCATTAAGAGTGTCCACATAGGATTTAAAACCAATTATATTTTGACAAATCATTACTTTGATTTATTACTTTCAAAAAAAGTTAATATTTCCAAAATTTATTTATTTCATAANTAAATTAATGTTAAAATAGTTAAAGTAACAAAAACAAAAACATGAAATTTTCTTATATATCTATATTATATAAAAGTTGCTATAAAGTCATTAAGAGTGTCCACATAGGATTTAAAACCAATTATATTTTGACAAATCATTACTTTGATTTATTACTTTCAAAAAAAGTTAATATTTCCAAAATTTATTTATTTCATAACAAATTAGAAACCAATATTCAATAAGCTAAACTAACAAAAATGAAATATTATAAAAAATTTAGTTTATATATATATATATATATATATATATATATATATAATTTTCGAACTTTAACATAAAAATAAAAGCCAAAATAATAATTAACTTTTTAAAAGGCAATAATTTCAAAAAATTATAAGTAAAAAAATTTCACTCACGATTTTCAAGGTTTAGGCTATATACTAATGTAATTATTTACAAATAACATATAACATATATAAGTTGAAGGTATAAATCATTGATAATATTCACATAATATTTTTAAAACACCAAGAATATTTTAAATCATCATTTTATTTACTATATAAAAATAGAGCTATAAACCATCGATAGTATATAGCTAAATAACCAATCAAAATATCAAAAATCATAATTTTAGTTACTATTTTATTAAAATGTTAAAGTTTATAAAATTGATTATTTCAATACAAAATAGAATTTAGTATCAAAGATGACGATGTCAAAAAAAAATTAAAGATGGCAAATTAATAAATAAATCATTAATATGGAATTGACTCATATATATATACTGAATATTTTGAAATTTAAATAGATCTATATTATATAAAATTCGAGGCTATCTGTTATATTATTCCGAAAAGAATATTTAGAGAATAGTTTTTGTAAGATAGATGAAAAAAATAAAGTCTAAGAAAGCATGTAAAATAAGTTTGTTAAGATTTAAACTAAAACTTATAAGGAAGACCAACAATAAATTAGCATGAAAAATAACAAAATGATAGAAGAATTAATAAATATGAATTTATTATTGTAAATATACTATGTATTATAATTAACAACTCAATACTACAATAAGTACGCTATCTACATTTGCTATCTTATCGTCAGCAATTAGCAACTATAAAAAGACTTATCAAATTATGTAATAACTAACTGATTTTCCCGTGCTTATGCACGGCTATGAATATTCATAAAAGTAAAATTTTATAATAAAATTGATATAATTTATGTATAATTTATATTAATAATATTATATTATTCTAATTATACATATGACTTTGAATATATTATTGTTGTTTTAATTATTTTTTGGATCAATAGTCGGTTTGGTTATCAATTTGATATATTGGATAATATATATTATTCCAATTCACCTATAATATTTTTTTATTTTAACGGTAATAAAAATTTGGATTAATTTTCTTATTTTCATTTTGTTTGGTTATTGTCTTAGATATGTAAATATATTATAGTTACATTATGTATAACTTAATATATATTATGCTTAAAATGAAATAAATAATAAGCTACAGTGTTTGATTCAAAATTACATAAATGAATATAATGATAATATTTGAAAGTTTCAAGCATATATATAAATTTTAAAAAGAATTAAATTGTAATTGGTTAATATTTTCTTTTTTCTTTTTAATATGCTTTGAGTCAAACTCTAATTTATATGTATAAAATTAAATAGATTATTATTATTATTATTATTATTATTATTATTATTATTATTATTATTATTATTATTATTATTATTATTATTATTAGAAAATTATATGTTCTTATTGTAGTTAGATCTTTAATTTTGGATATAAATTAGATCAGTCGAGTCATTCATTTTGTAAGTACATTGAGTTAAATATATATTTAAATTAAAATAGAAGTATAATTACTTTTTATTTTAGTTAAGTCAAATCAAATTAGTTTTATTTATCGCTTAAATATACATGTATTATCTTAATATTTATCAAATTATATGGTGATTTCTAAAAAATATTAGAAAATAAAGTATAACTGATAAATTTTGGATGTTCATGAACATATATATTTTTATTATTTTGAAAATATATTTTATTTTATTTTAAAATATTTATTAATGGGGCTATTACTATTTTGTGAACTTTCATTTTTAAGAAAGTCATATTATATACATATATTTTCGTTTTTAATTTTTTAAAAATATTTAAGAAATATTTCCTTTTTATTATATATGTTATTTGGAAAAGATAAAAAAAATAAAGAAAAAATAATAATCTTAAAATCTAATAATTCATTAAGGGTATCTATGTAATCAACCATCGCGAAAGTTAACGTGAGTGCGACACGTAGGAAACTGACTTCTCAAATAATATTATAGAGATTTTGAAAGGATCTTAAAAATCTTCATATAAACTCCAAAACAGACAAATATTTTCTGTCATACCAAAGTAATATTTTCATGTAAAAAAAATTCTAATTTATTATAACGCATTATAAAATCATACAAGCTTCACCACTATACAAATAACTAATTAGATCAAGTAATAGATAAATATATTAATTTTATATTATCTTACAAACACTATTTCATATTAATTAAAATTCATCAAAATATTAGTGTGATTAAATTTTAAAACTAAATATTATAATATCACACACACAAATATATATAAATCACACATTAATTGTAAAGTTTTCTGAGTACAAGGTATAATTAGATATTATGCAGAAGTTTAATAATTTATGTTGCTTAAATAAAAATATATATAGAATGTATGAAAAATATTATAATGCATTAACATTACATGAATCTAGAAATCTATATAATATTAATATAAATTAATATTTCCAAAAATTATGAATATGTTTATAAACATAATTATTACATTTATAAATACAAATACTAAACAACTAATAAGATAGTATAATTATAAATGAACATAAAACAATAAATTCAAAAATCATATTTTAAATACAAAACTGTATAAATCATCAAAAAAAAATATTTTAAAAGCTTATAGATTTTTAGTTTAAAGTTTATTTTAAAACTAACTAAATTATTAATACAGTGAATATAAAATCTAGTGAATATTATAAGATTCACCACACAACAAACAACACCAGCTTACAAACAAAGGCCAAAATACAAAACACAATCACATCCCCCACACAGTTTTCTTTTGCTTTTATTTGCTTTCCAAAGCAATAATATTTTTTCATGATCACAAGGCATTTTCCAAGTATCTCTCTGCCGGTATTTGTATACAATAATTAAAGTACTTTAGGTCGATCTTCGAACAAATTCTTTGTTGGAGTTCCCAAAAGGTATTTCTAATATTTGGCTAAGTAATGAAGATCTGCCAAAGTAAAAGTATTGCAAGCCAAGAATCTATATTTTCCGAGTCGTTTCTTCTAGAAACTTGTCTAGATTAGCTTCGTTTTCTTTGACGAAGTAGTAACAAACCCGAACCGAAATTGATTCAAAATCTGAATGGGTTCAAAATTTTGGTATTTACAGAATCGAAACCGAACCTGATTCGAACCGAAATATTTCGAGTATCCGAATATATCCGAATATATCCAAAAGAGATTTATATACCTATATATATTAATTATTTTTAGATTTAATGTATATAAAAAGCATTCAAAATATATAAAATACTTTGAAGTTGTTCAAAATACTTATAAATATATGTAAATAGTACATTCCAAATATCAAAAATACTGTAAAAAATTATTGATTCACAATCCAAATATTCAAATCAAACTAATTTATATGTTAATTTTAGCTATTTTGACTTATGTTATTCAATTATTTGTAATTTATTATTTTTATATATTTTTAGAAATTTAAAGTATATAATCAATTTTAAAATTTAAAAATAATTTAAATGGGTTATCTGAACCCGAACCGAACCTGCAAAGTTCTGGACCGAACCGAAATTTAAAAATATCTGAATTTGGCTAAAATTTGTGAATCTGAAAACCCAAAACCCGAATAGATCCGACCAAATCCGTATGGGTACCGAACGCCCATCCCTACTCACATTAGTGAAAAGTTAAAGAAGGAATTATTGAAATGGTGAAACCATATCCTGTGTTTATTCCTGTTTGAATTTATTCTAGGACTAGAGTTACCGAAATCAAAATTAATATCTGTTTTTCTTTTATCCTACCTAGATTTCTTACTTGGCATAAGCCTTGTCCAGTCCATCAAGAGACAGGTACCATCTATATGTAAACTAAGTTAAAAAAAGTTATATAGTCATTGTTTTGCAATACAAAAACGACGAACCTTTAGAGTCCTATAACTTTAATACATTTATCTTGTCGAGATTAACCATACATAGCTCAAGAAAAAAATCAAATCAAATAAAGAGTTCATTCCCATTGGCTGAAACTAGTTGAACATTTGGTACAAAGCATATTGAAATCAATATAATTAACCTGTTTCACCAAACCCATTATATAATTAAACATTATAAAGATGGCATTGTTGTTGAAAGTTTGAAAAGTAAAAAACATGCAGATGAGTTAAATATCAGAGAGATCCTTGTTCATTTTCAACTTTGTTGTCCTTGGCTTCTTACTTATGCAGGGTACCAACTTCAACTTCCTAGTCCTGTTTTTGCATTCTTCCTTCTGAATATAAGAAGAAGCCCAAGTTTTAATATACACACTATTGAAGAAGAAGTAGAAATAAGGATCACACACTAACCCTCTTTCTACCATCATCGATGGGAATTTGATTGGTAGCTTCATCGATGGGAACTTGATTGGTAGCTTCTTCTTCTGCTTCTTCTGCTTCTTCTGCTTCTTCTGCTTCTTCTGCGCCTGGGTAGCGCAAGAGTTCTTCTGATTCAATAGTGCCCCTACGCAGATACTCGGACTCGTTCAAGAAGTTGGACCGTTCGCAACATAACTCAGTGCTAACCATCCGGACCAGTTCCATTTTTGATTTCGAGTCGACATATTGGACCACCATGTCTTCGAGTGGCTGAAGTTTCTCAGCTTTGGCCACCTGAGAGAGAGGGTGAATCAGAGTATTACTAATTCCATTAATTATAGAATACAAAGAAAATCAGTATTAATCATTTATTTTGGTTCCACCAGTTAAAGCCATAACAATATATATATGTATATAAAAGAATCAAATATTCAAAGTCTGACTGACCTTGAAAATTTTGATGAGAGACTTGAGGTTTTGGCTATGGATTTCATGGGAAAGTTGGTTACTTGACTTAGAGAGGATATGGTCGCGTGCAGCTTTGCGCACATTCTCATAACCAACGTACTTAGCCATCTTAAAGTAAAATTAAGATTAAAATTAGAGAGAGGACTAAGATAGTAGTTGGAAACACGTACGAGATCAAACAAACCTTGATTAACTTGATCAAACTACGCAAATCTTTGTTGACAATCATCTGGGAGAACTCTTCTTGTGATTTCTTTACAAGGGGGAGCACCACAGAGAACAGCTTCTCGGGATTTTTCACGTAAAAACGAGCAGACTTACACACACACAAAAAAACATAGAATTGAGTACTCAAAAACACATCATCTGAATTAATTTTTTTTTTTTGTTTTTAAATACCTTGACAATTTTGAGTAGAGAATGGAGTTGTTCATTGCGAACCATAAAAGATATCTCTGCTTCTGATTTGTCTTCCACATACTTGAGTATAAAAGCGTCCAGTGACTCAAAATTCAGAAACTCAGCCGTCTCGACAAGGTGGAAGAGACCGATCAGGCTTTCGCTGTGTAGGAGCTCGTCAGACATCCACCTCTCCGAGCAAGTGCCATCACTGATCCTCACGCAGTATGTTAAAATCTTCTTGAAGGCTGTGCTTCTCACGAAGTACATCTCCACCGGCTCACGTAGCCTATGGAACCCTTCCTCTGGAACCATCTTATTGAACAACTCCCATGTCTTGCGATCAACTTCTACAACCTTCTTATCACTGCAAATACACTTGACTGTAATACTTTTATTACAATCACCATCCGTCGCCATTAGAAGCAGCAGCAGCAGCAGCAGCGTAGATTTTTTATTTTTATTTCTGCGGCTAAGAACACTATGGAAGAGTTATTATGTACGACAGCCCTAATAACAGACGAAGTCGTTTCCCCTGTCGGCAAGACACACTTTACTTTTCTTTTTTTCTTCTTTTTCTTTTTCCTTTTCCTTTTCTATCTAACTGTGCAAATAAAGCAGTAAAAGTTGAGCAGCTGAAAAAGCCCTTTTCGAATCCCCAACATTAGCAAGCCTATGTGTTCAATTTGATTAATGAGATGAACTTCAACTGAAAAATAGAATAAAATCGTTGTAGATAATTGTTCATCAATCATAGGCAGCTCCTAAGGCTGGGCAATCGGGTCTCCATCGGGTTTTAATTCGGGTTCATTCGGGTTTTGGGTTCTCGGGTTCATGAATTTTAGCTCCATTCAGATATTATAAAAATTCGGATCGGACTCGTTTGGGTTATCTCGGATTCGGTTCGAGTTTAGTAACATGTCTAAAATCTGGGTTAATCCGAAATAATTTTGGTTTCGGATACTAATCGGGTTATCGATTCTAAAAATACTAATTTATACTCTATTAAACTCAATACATTTTAATCGTTTTAATAAATTCGTGTATTTAGCTTTTTCAAACCATATTATTGTCCTTCAAAATTATATTGTGAAACTCCTCTATCAACCATATAATATTTGTCTTTAAACTATATGTGACAACACTAAACATATCATGATTAATGACAAATCAAAGTCTTATATGATCGAAAATCATATATAATTAAACATAAAAAATTAAAGTTAACAACTAATAATTCTATAAACGTAAGAAATACTATTTACACTTAAAAACAACAACATGGTTTAAACTTCAAAACAATTTATTCGTAACTAAACTTCAAATGTAATGTCAAGCATAAACACTAGTATTAACCAAATAAAACTATATATTAGACTATTTGAGTTAATTATTCATGTAATAACTAATTATTGTAGGTACTAAATAATATCTTGATGTGTTTTGGAAACATATTAGAAACTGAGATTGAATATGGTACAAGTGTTTTAAAATTTTAAAATTTTGGGTTCTTTCGGATATCTATTTAAGTTCGGGTTTGGTTCGGATGAAACTCATAACCAGAAATACCGTAAAACAAGATTTATTCGGTATTTACTATTTATGTTGGGTTTGGACCGGTTGGGATTCCTTTTTATCGATCCATCGGATTCGTTAGATTTTTGGGTTCGATTTTTTTTCCCAACCCTAGCAGCTCCAAACAAATTAAATTTCCCCTTCAGCTGAGTGGTTCTCCCCCCCCCCCCCACAAATATGTATTGAACAAAACGGACCTCCGGTTCAGCTAATCCATGGAGCCTTTGTTAAAAGAAAAAGAAGTGAGCCTATGTTCAGCTAATCCATGGAACATAAACTTTGGCGGTGGACTTAACCGAGTTGGTCAACAATTGACGCTTGTTCGTCGGTTTTAGGATTTTGCAGCTTGCGTGGTCTGCCAATTAAATGAGTAAAGAGCAGGTGTCATTAGAAAATAATGGGTGCCTCGGTTACGGAGAAGTAGGATGTTAATACGAGTTTAACTTAACAGGATTAGCCCTAACCCTACTTTTGACATAGGATTTAAAAATAGTTATCTATAATTAGTCTTGAGAGTTGAAGAGTTTAGATTTAACTCATTTAATTTGCTTCATACAAATATTTAACTATATATTGAAATATTAATTTGGTTTAATTATGCAAAAATTTATTTTTTTTCATTATCCAGTAAAATTAATTTTTTTGCTCAAATCTGTTTTGTTTTTTCCAAAACTGAAAATCTGATTTTTCGTAAAAATCGTGAAAATGAGTACATTTTCACGATTTCAAAATGAAGCTTTTTATCAAAAAAGGTTTTTCGGCCCAACTTGCCAAATCGCTTTTTATGCCAAAATTAAAAATTAAGTTTTCCCGTCAAACTAGATTTTGCAGTTCTGGCGGGAAAACACAATTTTACAGTTTTGACAGGAAAACTCAATTTTGTGATTTTGACGGGAAACTTAATTTTTCGATTTTGGCGAAAAACTCAATTTACGGTTTTGGAGGGAAAATCAAGTTTGTAGAGTTTATGGGAAAATTTGATTTTGCGGTTGGGGCGGAAAATGGTTTTGCGGTTTTGGCTGAAAGCTTGATTTTTCGGGAAAATTCGATTTTGCAGCTTTGAATGGAAAAGTCGATTTTGCAGTGTTGACGGGAAAACTCGATTTTCAACTTTGGCAGGAATCAAGTTGAAGTGTTAGCGGGAAAACTTGATTATGCGGTTTTGGTGGGAAACTCGATTTTACGATTTTTTCCTAAATTTTTGATTTAGCGGTTTTGATGGAAAAACTCAATTTTGCAGTTTTGGCGAGAAAACTGGATTTTACGGTTTTGGCAGAAAAACTCAAGTTTGAAGTGTTAGCAGGAAAACTTGATTTTGGCGGAAAACTTGCGTTACGATTTTCGTGGGAAGTCCCAAATTTGTAGTGTTGACGAGAAAACTTGATTTTGCGGTTGGTGCGGAAAATTTTAATTTTGTGATTTTGGCGGAAAAATTCAATATTGCAGTTTTGGCGAGAAAACTCAATTTTACAGTTTTGGTGAGAAAACTCAAGTTCGTAGTGTTAGCGGAAAAACTTGATTTTGCGGTTTTGGGAGGAAAACTCGATTTTACGGTTTTGCCAAAAAAAACTTATGTTCGTAGTGTTAGCAAAAAAAAAACATGATTTGGTGGTTTTGGCGAAAAAACACGAGTTCACAGTTTTGGCTGAACAACTTGATTTTACGGTTTCAGAGGGAAAACTTGATTTTTGCGGTTTTGACGAAAAATTAATTTTGCGATTTTGGCGGGAGAATTTAGTTTTGTGGTTTTAGTGTGAAAATTTTATTTTACGGTTTTGGCAGGAAAACTGAAGTTCGTAGTGTTGGCGGAAAAACACGAGTTCCTAGTTTTGGTGGAAAATTTTGATTTTTTGGTTCAGCGAGAAAACTCAATTTTTGGTGGAAAACTCAATTTTCATTTTTGACTGAAAAACTCAATTTATAAAACCTAATTTTGCAATTTTAACGAGAAATTTTATTTTTCATTTGCACATTAAAAAAAAAAAATTAAATAAAAAATTCTATTTAAATGGATTAACTCTGGTACCAACCATAATCCTTAAATAAAATAGAATTAAAATAAGGTTAAGTTAAAATATGGCTGGATTTATATTAAACTAAAGAGTGTTAAACTCTGGTCCTGCACTTCGTTAGACGTCGCAGATCATCAAATTCTTTGTGCCCAAAAATGAGCCTCAGAGTTAAGGAAAAGAAGATGTCAACTACAATTTAGTGTTGAAAATACTTACGACAATATCTTACTGTTAGATTGTTAATTTAGAAAGGTTTGATTTTTGGGAAATTGCCAAAAGGGAGCAAAAAAACATAACTATTGTTCTCTTAAAATAAAATATATTTTTTTGTCCCTATAGTATAAACATTAATACAAATCCCATTTAGTCCTTACTAATTAATTTTATAATATAATTATAATTTAAGTTAATTAGAAATTAGTTATATTAATTTTTTATTGTTTTCGACATCGAATTGGCGAAAGAGAAGCAACACCACTTCAGAAGAAGGTTCTCGAATCCGTAATCGAGGTCAGCGACATCGACACCATTCTTGAGCAAGGTGAGGAGGCGGAACGCCTTTTCACTATTAATCACAGCAACACCACTCCTTTGCCTATCGATCTTAGGAGCTCTGATGTAGTTGGTCTGCCACACTCGGCTAGATATCAGTTTTGCCGTGAATTTGTTATCAAGATTCAGCTCTTGTCCAACCCAGAGGCACTGAAACGGGATAAAAAACATATACTTCGCTATTTACAAGGAATGAAAGATTTGGATTTATTATATACTAACCAAACTAAGGATGGCTTAGTTTGTTTTGTTGATGCAGGTTACTTATCAGATCCTCATTGTGGTAGATCTCATACAGGATATGTCTACACATATGGTGGTACAGCAATATACTAGTGTTCCATGAAGCAGACCATGACGGCCACTTCATCCAACCATGCGAAGATCCTAGCCATACATGAGGCCAGCCGTGAGAGTGTATGGATAAAGGCTATGACCAATCATGTTCGGGCCACTTGTGGAATGGCCAAAGGGAAAGACCCACCACTCGTGATTTATGAAGAAAATGCGGCATGCATAGCACAGCTCAAAGATGGCTACATCAAAGGAGACAGGACGAAGCACATTCTGCCTAAGTTCTTCTTCACACATGATCTCCAGAAGTCAGGCGAGGTTCAAATTTTGCAAGTACGTTCAAGTGAGAATTCAGATGATCTCTTCACCAAGTCATTGCCAACCTCGACCTTCAGGAAGCTAAAACATAAGATTGGGATGCGTTAGCTGAAGGACCTTCAGTGATGCATTCGTCAGGGAGAGTTCATGTGTTGTACTCTTTTGTCATTTCTTGGTTTACTTTTTTACCATATTGGGTTTTGGGTTTTCCAGGAGATCGTTTTAATGAGGCAACATCAAAAGCATGAAATGAACCCTGATCGGATATATCAACCAAGGGAGAGTGTTAAGAATCATTTTTGGTGGTTCGGCCATATCCGAAACCGGACCTGGTCGGGTCCATAGACCAGAGGCCCAATGGCGACTCCTGGTCCTTATCCATCTGCGGCCAGCAGATCTTATCCATATCTTTTTCCTTGTGTTTATCCTTATTGTTGTAATTATCCTAATCCATACAGGATTAGGATTATCTCCTTGTTGTAATCCTTAACACTTTAGGATTAGGATTATCTATTGCTTAATGACGGTTTATGTACTCATATATATACTGGTCGATGTCGTTAATAAAGTTAACAAGTTTCTACTCTTTTTACAACAAGAAGGGATTTTCAAATGAGATATTCTGAGAATTCACAAACAACTATTTGTTTTTGTTTAGTGGTTTATCTTTTTAAAGTAAATTTAAATATTTAACAAAATTATTTTAAAATATTAATAGTGTTTTTTGTTTGAGATAATTATTGCCACCAATGCATCCACACGTTAATATAACTATATATGTTTACGTAGTTCTACAGTTACATTTTTGTAATACATTTTCACTAATACAGGGGATCAAATTAATAACAATAAACATATATATATATATATGAATATTTTCACATAGTTTGTCTTTTCACTAATATGGATCTTTGGTACCCAACTCCAAGTATTCTCTATTGATCAGATCCTCAATATGTTTTTTGGTCATCTTTACAGTAAGCTGCAAAATAAAATAAAAACCAATAAGAAACTTTTCTTAAATATGAAACCCATGTGTTACTATACTTTTTGTTTTTACAAGTTATTTTGAACTTTTGGCTAAGTTACTCAACACATTCAGAGATTAACTGTTGGTAGAGCAACATTATCATGCTTTTCATGATTCACACAAGAGAAGCATCATAAATTGATGATGTGGGAAAGATGGAAAGAAGACAATGATCTTATCATAATACCCTGATTATATGCCTTTTAGATGTGAACTTGGAGTTGAATTCAAAAGCAAACATTTTAGATGATCTTTGAGACTGGTTCTTCTGTACAAATCTTGTACATTAAGCAAGAGAGTGATCGAAGCAGCATGACAAGATCTTGATGGCTAAGGTAAGTTGTTCAATGAGCTCCTGGTAGATTGATCTTTTTAGTGTTGTTGAAAGCACAAAGCATAATAGCCTGAAACAAAAAAAAAAGATATATTAAAATATATTGTCACGGGAGAACAACCACAACCAAATGTAGATATATCTAGAAGGTAGAAACAATCAACTCGATAGGTTTATAATCAAATCATCTATTAAGATGATGACATGATTTTGGTTTCATAATATGTCTTGAAAGTTTCAATACAGTGAGATAAGTGATATATTGGAGTCTGATGTTTTGTAACTCGGTCAATAACATGTTTTTAAGACTGACCATCAAATCAATCCCTTTTGGTATTCTAGTATTGCCATTTTCTATATATTTATTGGAAGCCCTTCTATCTTTCTTTTGCCATTGCCATATTCATCACCTATTAAAAACATATTAGCCAAAACCTTAATTCCTACTAACATATCAATTAACAAACCATTATTTTAAACACATACTAGAAATATTTTCTTTTGTAAAAATATGTTCTTTTAGCCTTTTTGATTGAGTTTTTGGTTACCATGGTTGCAGAAATTGGTGCACTAACGGCGGGGTGGTTCTGCGGTTCCCCAATCATTTTCCATGATTCCAACTTTTATCGTTAGCCCAACATGAACACTTGATCTCTTAACGTCACTGTTTGCTTATGCGTTTTTGTTTGTTTCATGTACTTTCTTCAAGTAAGCTTCTTTTGATCCTCACATGTTATTTTTCTCAATAGAACCTTCCAGCTTCTGCAATAATAGTGAAATTATTAAGTGTTTGATTAGTTCTACATTTACAACTTTTTGTAAAAGTATATTTTTCCTTAAGACATAGGATCGAATTAATAACAACAAACATTTATTTCTTGGATTCTTTCACATGCCATTGGAAGTATCTAAAAGTGGTTTTCATAATAAATATTCAAAAAGTTACAAGGGCTTTTCAAATGAGAATTTCATGGAAAACTACTTGTTTTTGTTTAGTGGTTTATTTTTTATAAAGTTAGTTTATATTTAACAAGATTATTTTAGAATATTAACATTTTTTGGTTTGAGATAGGATGCTCTCATAGTTGTTTCCATCAATGCGTTCACAGGGTAATACAACCAAACCAGTATACAAATTTATATTTAATAAGATTTTTTTGAATATTAAAAAAAAAATTGGTTTGAGATAGGATGTTCTCATAGTTGTCTCCATCAATGCATTCACACGTTAATACAACCAAACCAGTATACATGTTCAAGAAGTATCAAACATCAAGAAAAAAAATGAAGGATTAATTGATATAATTTTGAGAAGAAAAAAAGAAACAAAATGAAGGATAGGTATTTAGAGGAACCGACGCTTCCACGGGACACGATTGTTTTTCCTCACACAGCAGCCACATGAGTAAAGAAGAACCACGAGAAGGATAAGAAGAAGATTGAAGACGAGAAGAATCCTCCATCTTCTCCTTACCCCTTTGTAAACTCCAACCTTGCATGTCTCGCAAGCATAACACAGCTGGCTCTGTGTGTTACTCCACGTCTTGCAGTCCCCAGTGATCTCTGCGCTTGATGTCGCTGGAACTGTCCAAAACGTAACATTCTTTGGCTCGAACCCACATTCTACTGGTGGTCGACAACATCCGAACTGAATACAAGAAAAATAACATTTTACATACTTATATACAAAGCATTACCATTTTAGATTTTGTTGGTTGTTGAAAGTCCAATCGTTTCTTTGGATTTTCGGATTTTTGGTACCATCCCAATAAGTCTTATTCGAATTTTTCTAATTTCGGATCGAGTTAGACTCGATCTCTCTTGGTTTGCTTCGATAAAAACTAACAATCTACATAAATTAACTAAAAATGTATTTAAAATAACCAAAAATCAGGTATAAAAACTACCAAAATGCTCTATAATATGTAAATTATCTGAAGCTATATATAAATAATTAATACGTATATATAGCTTCAGATATTATCATATACTAATCAGGATTTCGGTTCGGATTATAATTTCTATCCAAACTATTTAGCCCATAAACTCTATTCGGATATTTTTTATAATCGGTTTGGATCGGATTAGGTTAAGTTACAAAAGTCCATTGTCTATCAAAATATATCAACACATACCTTTACGTGTGAGAGATGTTTGGCGTCAAAGTGGACGTCACGTGGACCAAACCTACAAATGGTAGAATCAGCCATGCATCTTTTAATCCCTTCCCAGTTCTTACCTTGAAGAAAATGATTCCCTATCCAGTTTTGAAGATCACCGGTCTTAGCCTTTCCTATACCCTTGTCCGAAAACGCTTTTCCCGCTGAGGCATTAGTTACAAGAAAGATGAAGATGGAGAAGCCCAAGATGAGGAGAAGGGAGAGGAAGAGGAAGAATAGGTAGAGAGTAATGATGATGTAGTTGTCGTAGAGAGCCGCGATGAGGCCTAAGGAAGATATGAAGAAGAGGAGAGTTGCTGTCACGATGAGAGGGTTTTGGATGAACTGTTGACATTCCGTTGGGCCTTTCACAAAGAGGTAGATAGAGAAACATAAGGTGGCCAGGCCGATCAACGCGAGGATTGCGTTTGTTGTTATCACGGCGGCGTTGCTTAGCCGTGGCATTGTTTAAGCCGAGAGAAAAGTTTGTTAGTGGAGAAAATGAATGTCTCAAACTCAAAAAGGGTTATATATTAAAATACATGTAAATGTGTCGCATATACGAGGAATATTGATCTTGTTTTACCAAATTGTTTTTTGAAAATGTGAACAGTAAACTTGTCATAATCCGATAACTTGTTATATATTGTATATATTTCAAGTTGTGACCATTTAGTTATTGTTAATTTATTATATTGGTATGACGATGAGTAAAATACTCACATTTCAAAAGTATCCATAGATCAAAGATGTCATTATTATTCTTAACTACTTAGAGAGGCCCTTGAACAGAGACTCAATTAACATTTTGATAACAAAAAATTAAGAAACTCTTGTGATATATTCAAGGTCGGTTTTGGGATTTAAAACAGTATAAATTTTAAGATGAATCATAATAAAGATTTACACATTTATAATAGATGTTTAATTCTTTTTTAAAGAAAATAAAATTGCTATAAGATGAATCTTAATTAAAAAAAAAATATTTCTAAAGATAAAAAAAAAGTATTTGCGTGACAAAAAATTAAAAAAAAAAAATTTAAAAAAAATTTCTAAAGATTGACATACGTATAATAGATTTTTAAAGTTCAGGGGAGAATACGAATATTTCACCTTGTTTTTCCTATTACCTGCCCTGATATACTTACTCATGGAGACTTGAATAACTGTTGTAATTAAAAGTTAAAACGGTTTAATTGTGACGTGTGAGTGGTTCTTAATAAAACGATCGGCACTACGTTGGGACGTGGTTTCCACTAACTAAACATCTGAAGCTTTGGACGGTATAAAATTAAGCTCTTTGACTTCGCCTCCATCACTTCATGTTCATGACAACGCGCTTTTGTCAAAACTGGATGATCTTAGTTTATATTTTATCAACTTATTCATTAATTATACGTGTTTATATATTCATACAAATGGTTTTATGCGTCTCAAATAAATACCAAATCGGTCTCATATTTGATTCGCTTATGTCAACACCAGTTCGGTAGGTGGGTGACAAATTGAACCCTTTGCACCTCCCAGGTAAGTGATTAATTAGTACTTAAGTTTTTCATCTCAATATTGTTTTATTCATTACCACAAAATATGTATATCAAATGCGACTTGATTTTTCATTGGTAGATAAACATAAAACGTGTTATACCGCGGAGGAAATTTGAGGGGCTGGTACATAGCTGTTACTATTGATTTCTTTGCCGTTTAACTTCTCGGAGGAGAAGATTTCATCACCACACATTACTAATGCCTTGAGATCATCATCCGTGATTCTCTGAAATTATCAACAAATTGAAACCAAGAATTAAGTGTGAGATTCTATAAACAATTAACATTTAAATTCTTACATCAAATATAGTTAAAGTATATCTAAGTTAAGTCAAAAGTATTATGCGCATGAAAATAATATAATAAGAAATTAGAAACAAAACCTTTTTCTCCTTGGTTAAATCTCTGAACCGTGAGAAAACCTCGTTCAATTTCTCATCATTGATTTCATATCCCAACTGAGAGCAGAAATAAACACCCGAGTATACAAATTAACAAATATATACTGATCTCTTATTTGAGTATTTATATACGATCATTGTACAACCAAGGACTATATAAATAATACAATAACAAGGCATATACCTCTTTCAGTCGACCTTTCACTGCATGACGTCCACTACATATTTCCATAGTTTTTAACAAATGAGTTAAAATGGTACGTTCCATAGGTTAATTAAATAAAATCAAGAAAATATTACTTGAAACTGAATAATTACCTAAGCTTTCCAAGAACAATGCCGGATTTTTCAGATTTTACAATCCCAATATCTTCTGGTGATAAGATCTCATATGTACTCCGATTTTTCAATATCCCATCCTGCAAAATGTTTAAAGAATGATAACCATATGCATCTCTTTTTTTTTTTTTTTTTTGGGCAACAAACCATATGCATCTCATATTTGTTTTTTATGCCAAATAAGTATGTATGCATATACATATGTACCGAACCTGGTGAATGCCGCTCTCATGAACAAAACAGTTGGCTCCAACTATAGGCTTGTGTGGTTGAACATACAAGCCAGTATATTCTTGAACCTGATCAAGAATTAACAACTAGTCAATTATTATAAACACTATGGAAAGAAAAACACTAGCTCCTCGCCATGTCAAAGTTACCATCTTGCTAGTAGCCATAATTTGGCGTGTGTCTATTCTTGTGTAAACACCACCCATCAGGTATGCTCCTCGACATTTCAAAGCCATCACGACCTATAGATACATACCAAATCATTATTCATGTTGAGGATGAATTTAATGATGATAGATCGACCATTACGATCTTGTTGAGTTTCATAGACTAATTTCAAAACCAACTGGAAATAAGTAGATTAAAAATCGATTCCATCTGTTCAAAAAAGAATTGTTCTTATCGGTTATATTATCGTATGTTTTTTTCTCACATTAGATGTGTGATTTCTAGCATATCATACCTCTTCAAGCGGTGCATTTCCACTTCTTTCACCTATTCCATTGATTGTTACATCGACTTGTCGTGCTCCCGCAGATATACCCTATTAATATGTCCATATAGTGTGTAATTCTATATGTCTTTTGATTGATAATTTGTAAATAAAATGCAGAGGGAGAATTAGAAAAGGTACGGCGATTGTGTTGGCGGTAGCAACACCAAGGTCATTGTGACAATGAGTGCTCAAGATAACATCATCAATTCCAGGAGTGTTTGCTTTAACGTATCTCAAAAGCTCTCCGTATTCTCGGGGCATGTTGATCCCCACCGTGTCCGGGCAGGCCAGGGTGGTTGCACCCGCTTTGATCGCTTCTTCAAAAACCTTGCATATATAATCCTTGTCCGACCTGCTTAATTTTAACCACATATTAGTATTTTATAAATATGTATGAGATCGTTAAAAGATATTGTGTATAAAAGTTCATTACATAGTCAAGCAAAATATATAACTTTACTGCAACTAATTTTCTTTATATAAAGTACTAAAATTTTTATGCTCTTTTGAACCTTTTGAAATAATAATGGAAATGTAAAGGTTTTAAGATATGAACCTGCCGCCATCTTCACAACCAAATTCGATGTCTTCGAAGCCTAAACTTTTAGCAAACTTAATACTACGTACGACCATCTCGAGGACTTCTTCCCTATTCATTTTCAACTTATATTTCAAGTGAATGTCACTAGTAGAAGTGAATATGAGTATCCTCGGCCTCTTTGCGTACTTCACTGACTCCCAAGCCGCTTTAATATCTCTTTCTTTGCTTCGTGCGATGACGCATATCACTGGGATATAACCTGTTTCCTCATCCACCTGGCAAACACTGTCATTTTCTCATTAGTAGAAACAACAAGGTTAACTACATAGTTTTTGAACTTTAAAGCATGATTATAGGGATTTCTTAGTGGTTTTTTAGAGAATTTTTATTGCGTGGATTCCATGAACAATATAAAAACCGGTTACAAAAACTGTAAATTAAGAACTGATTTTATGGTTTTTGGGCTCCACAGACATATGAACGCGATTGGTTTGCTTTTAAATTTTCTTTTTTTTAGACAAAAAAAAAATTAGAAACCCAAATAGGTTTTTAGAGATAATTATGCTCTTAGGTTATCTATATAGTTTGGCACGGAAACAACTATTGTGCGAGGTTCAAATAGCTTATTTACTCTGACTTTCAACGTTAGAATTATCTTCAATTTGAACTATGTTATTAGAACCCCTTTATTAAATAAAGCCATATATTTTTCTTTTTATAAAAGAAAAAGAAAAACAATATAGTTTAAAGAAGGAAATAAAGACACAAACCTCGTTCCCCACGGTCTTGGCGATGGTTTTGATGGTTTCAAACTCTTCCTCTGAAGACGCAGGGAAACCAACTTCCATGATGTCTACTCGGAGCTTAGCGAGCTGCCAAGCAATCTCTATCTTATGTGGTGGAGTAAGTGCTGCTCCGGGAGATTGTTCGCCGTCACGGAGCGTCGTGTCGAATACACGCACATAGTTCTTGTCGGGGAGCTTGTTCGGAATATACTCTGGCCACCGTTCCACGACAGGCTTCAAGTCAGTAGCACTAGTCTCAGCTTTTTCGGACACAGAGGAGCAACATGAGATGGCCAAGAACGACTTGTTGTACGGACGGATCAAGCGGACAGATCCAAAGGGTAAGAATGACCGGACAACCATGTTGGAACCGGTGGTAGGGATCGTTCCGGAAGATGTCAGAAGTGATGAAGCCATAACGATAGAGAAGAGAATGACAGAAATATTTTTTTGTGATTTGGAGGATAGATAGTGAGGAAATTGTTTTGCAGTGAGATGGAGAACATGTGAAATAAAATATATCAATATTTATAGATAGGTAGAAATTCTCTTTTAAGAAAAAATAGATTTTTAATTTTTATTTTTAAAATCCCTTAAACAATTTTTTTTAGTGGTTAGAAACATATGATTTAGGGGAGTGACTAATTAAGCTTTCGTATGACATTATAGTTGCCGTATAACTTTTTTTGTTATTAACATTTTGTTATTGTGTCCCTTTGACAAAAAAAAACATTTTGTTATTGTGATTATTTAAGGCTAGTTATTATGATAGTGTGGTTTAAATATGCTCTCTGCATTTGATAATTAAGAAGGTACAAATGCAATGCGGAGACAGAACAAGCAACTAGCAAGAGAAAAATATTGAAAAAAGATTGAATAAGATATACCCATAATGCACTTTCTCAAATTCATAAAACTATAACTGTTCATGTTAAAACTCTTTACCAAAAGAAAAAAATTAAAGTAGAAAAAGAGAGCACGTGGAAATTCGCAACTCCGGTTGGGCATGCAGGTAGGTGAAAGGCGACATCGTACTGGTTGCACCTCTAGGTAGGTGATTAGTTGTGCTTAATATTTACTTGTGCGTGATTCAGTTTTCTTTTCCAAATCCATTGTTTCCAAAAAGGTTATTATGTCAATTAAAATGGAAACTAACAAAAAAATGGAAGTACTTTTACAAAAAAAAAAAACAAAAAAAAAAACAATGAAAATTGATAAAACAGTACTAGCAAAACAGAGAAGAAACATAGGGCGTGAGTTACAAAATGAAGAAGTTGAATACTAGGATCCGATTGGTAATGGAAAACGGAGCATAGTGTGCTTTAGGCGCCGAGCGAGAAACCTCTCTTCTTTCGTTTCGGTTTATTCACTATCTGAAACTTAGCACTTGTTTGATTTTTATTATTGGGCAGCGGGCTGTAATTTTAAAATTTTTGATGTAGAAAAAAATTTGTAGATTTTTTGCTGTGGTTTTAAATTTTATTGCTACAGATTTTTTGGAAAACACTAAAAAAATTGTTTTGGATATTTGGCTCTGCAGAGGACTTGTATAGTTGTAGATTATTTCAAGAGTTGTGGTTTTAAAAAAAAAATAAAGCTTGATTGCTCTGATTTTAGTGTTGTAGTAATAAATAGGATTGTGGACATCACCTATAGCAACTACCAATCACCCCCTAATCTGGTTAGTCCGGTTAGGGTTAACTGTAATAAATAATGACCGGTTGATAAATGATAATGGAAAATATTTGGCTACAAATTTAATAAGGAAAATATGAAGTTGTCTTCAAAAAAATTGATTCCGGTATGTAAGGAGATTTTTTTTAGACCTTTTTTTTTTGTAATATCACAAATTTGGTTCAGTTTTTGCTTCGGTTATTATATTTTGTTTTGAATGAGGTTTAATTAATCTATCCAGAGTAAACAACCCTCTACCAAAACCATATGTTATGAAAAAGAAGAAAAAACGCTTATCATGTATATATCAAGTATGTTTTAGAAAGAAAAAAAAGATAGACGATAGTATATAAAAATGTACAAAAGAATATACAGTATGTATAATATGATAACCAAATATAACCCTTTTGTGTGATCCATCTCCAAGCCAATGTAACAAATGGATAAAATAGAAATATAGAATTGGTCCTAGTGTTACTCTGTTTCTCCATTATATGTTTCTGATGCTGGGGTCTTTTTTGAGTTTCTTATGTTTCCGTGTCTGCTTGATGTTACTGTTTTCGTCATCATTGTGGTTTTCATCTGCACTAGGCGACCGAGGTCGAACCTTTCGATGAACTTCTTCATCCTGAGAATAAAAGAAAAGTTACGAAAGATCAAAATTCATCTGTCTCATCATATCATTGGTAGTAATAAAATAAGTATTAGTAAATAGTTGATAAAAATACTGGAATACTTTTATTTCCAATTACAAAATAACTATTTATGTTATTGAACAAGATACTATTTATTTTGCTTTTCTTTTGTTTTCTTATATTGTATACTTAACTTTTTCGAAACAGTTATAGACACTTAAATTAGAAGCAATGGAACTATGGAAGCATACCTCTTGAGGTTGTTTAGAGAGTTTGATTTGTACAGAGATCCTTGATCTGGACAAGTCCACTCCTGATGCTTGGAGTGTTTCTGATAATGTTTTTAATAGCCTATATTCCAAGTAAAAAAAAAAATTTATACCATTTCTATTTAGTCTTGTAACTTTGATTAGGGTTGAAATAAAACTCACCCTTGGGAGTAAACACTTGATATACTGATTGTACCCTTATGAATAGAAAGATCCTCTACCTCCTCTTCTCTCAAATTTTCACACTCCATTGCAGCAGCATCAGATGATGACACTGGACAAAGCTGTGACAATTCTGGAGAGAAAAAACTATTCCTTAGACCTAACACAGGAAAAGAAGTTGTATCCATTGTTCTGTTCAGACACTGTTGATGATCCATGGTGACGGCTTGGGCTTCTGCGAGGACTGGAACAGTTCCTTCAGGTGGCTGTGTGATAGTCTTTCTATCAGATTAGTTTTAACAAATTATAAAAAAAATAGAAGAAAGCTTAATTACCTCGTGTTTGTCTACTTTCTCTTGTAAGATGTGAATGTACTCAATAACCTGTATTAATGTATATATGTTTAAAAGTAAGTTTAAGATCATTAGATAAACACATCACTATTACTTCTATTGCAAGAAAAACATTTTAGAAGACATTACTCATACCTCTAGTAAAAATGATGCCTTGTCCCGCTTTTGGTCGCTGTTAGGGATCAATTGTCTCAACGTTTGAAATCTGTTTCATATTAACTTGGATCAACTCTCACTCTCTTTGTAATCTACCAAACTAAAGTCCGTATCTTATTTTGTAAACTCACCTATCATTGATCTTGCTCCTCCTCCGTTGCTCTGTTGCAGAATGTTTTGACCTAGGAGTGTTCGGCTTTTGTTCGTTACCATGACCTTTCCTATCTACTTTGACTCTCAAATCCACTGTAGGGAAAAAAACACAAGTGATACACATCTTGTTAATTATATGGTTTAAGAAAATGTAAGCTAATATTTGAAAAATCGCGGTAATTAAGTATTTATAAGAGATTAGTGTCTAATTGGAGGATCCATGGGAGTTCTATGTACTGGTTCTAAATAATTATGTGCTGAAATGAAATAAAAAACACAAATTAGATAGATATGGTTCTAAAATTAGAATTTTTGGAATCACTTCTAAATAATAGGTGTCACTTTGTGATAGTATTTTAAAGAAAAAAAATTAAATTTTCAATTTTTTGAAATTTAGAATTTTTAATTGGTTCTACCATTGGAGGGATTAAAACAAAACAAATATATAAATTTTTTAATTTGATTATTTTCAATTAAAATTTTGATTTAGAACTCTAACACCATATCTATTATTGGAAATGGTCTTAAGCAACATCTAAACCGGTTTATTTAAAAATCATTTTGAAAACGTTCCGTTTATGACCGATTTGCTATTCTTAGGCTCGATTTTTAGAACATTGAATCTAAAAAATTCTCCTGGTGAGTCACAAACCTCTCTGGCACTGGCTAGTGGATGTGTTGTTCCCTTTACTTGTAACGAACTCTTCATCTTCATCATCCAAATCCTCCTCCTGCGAACTTCCTTTGGCAGACTTTATCATGTCCATGAAACTCTGCCTCTGCCTCTTCCTTGTATGCTCTTTCTTATCTACCGATTCATTCCACAAAGTGAATCCATTCTTTGCAGAAACCGAGGTATCCTCCACTGCATGTCTCTCGTTACAGCTAGCTTGGGACACCTTGAACATCGGAGAGGCCTCTGGTTTAGGAACTTTCTGATGATGATTATAATACATGTAAGGCATATGACTGATCGTGTAAGTCCCTATGCCACCGGGAAGCACGTGCTGGTTTTGAACGTACGGTGACTTCTGCTCCAATGTTGCGGCCGTAGTGTGGACACTGCCTCTAGTATTTTCGTCCTTGGCACAAGCTCTTGTTCCAACACGTTCTAATGGTTGTAGAAAATCATGAATTTTCGGATACGCACCTGCTTATTACATACACATCAACGTAGGTTAGTACTTTTTTTTTTGGAACTCATCGTAGGAAACATGATTAGATTAAATAGAAAAGTGTGCAAAATATATACGTAAACGCTAAATGGATAGATAAGCCCTTAGGATTTTTTTTTTTTTTTTTTTTTTGAACAGCCCCTTAGGATTTATTCGTGGCGTTTTACTAGCGCAGTAAACACACTGCACAACACTGTAAATGCAAAAGTAAAATGTGGAACCATGTAGTACTACTGTACTTGCATGTCCGTACATTAGTCTCATTAAGAACAAACGCTGACAAACTTCTTTAATATTTTTCGTTGTTTCTATGCTTAATTCTTTAATCAATAAGATGAAAATTGGTGAGTCTGAAGTTAGTAAAAAAAGGTTCAAACTAATCACATGGCATACACCCCACCTTCTATAACTAACATTATCACACACTAGCACTCCAGATCTGGGCTCAAATTTATATATCACGTGACGCAGCATTATCTAGATGTTTGTTTCAGAGGTAGACTTTTACATGAAATTGGTACTTGTATAGTTATATGTACTTTTTACAGAACATAATGTGTGTTTTCAGACCAGATCTTCTGACACTAAACAAAAACAATAAAAGAAAATAAAAGAAACAAAAGTGATTTATAGATCTCATGTATTTAGCAAAAGGAAAAACTCATGTAACAAAAATAGATCTCACGAGTCATCGTCATCATTAGCGTCATAATTAACGACGAGATATTTATGACGACGGATATAAAAATGGACACTTCTTTTTTGGACTATATAAGGGTTTATTATCCCATTTTTCTAGCTGCTTATTAGTAGTATTTTTTTATTTTTTTGGATTATTATTTCCTCTCTATGTATAAAATAAAACAAAATTGGTGATATAATACCTTGAGATGAAGGCATCGGATCTGGATGGACGTTTGAATTACTGCAGGCTGATAAAAAATCTTGCGTTGGTTTTTTTCTCCCTGTATAGAAAATTCTTCTTAATAATCAAAAACTAAAACCAAAAAAGATAGTTCTCTTTTATTATTATCTTTTTTTCTTTAGAAACTTGTGAAAAGAAAAACAAGATAATCAAATAACTAAAAGAAGAAGAATCTGAAAATGTGGCGCATCTACAATTATTACCTTGTGCTTCAAAGACACGAGAATGTGGAAGCTCCATCAACCACAGCTTTTTAACTTATAGTGTTAGACTATGTGGTGGTCGAAATTCAATAGCTACTCTTTTAGATCTGCCACTTATAGCTGCAGATTCAAGATGACTATGTGGATATAATTCGAGCTTGAAACTATCTGAATTATGAGAGAAGATCTACTAAACTCTCAGATTCCAACGATCTGCCACCTAAATTCCCAAAAAAAAAACGATCTTAAGTCTTAACTAAACCATAATTCAACAAAATAAATAAAACAAAAATGAACTTCAAACTATGAAGGATGTTAGTATAATTAAGAAATTTAATAGAGACGTTGGAATGTTATATAGTACCTTGTAGATGATCGATGAATCTAACATGCACAATTGTCACCTCAGAGATGAGAGAGAGAGAGAGCTTTCTCACGTTCTTGGCCTATTCTCTCTGTCTCTCTCTTTGTTTAGAAGATGAGGAGTTGGAGTTCTTTTTATACAATAGTTATTATACAGTTCCCCGTTTTACAGTTTAAGTAGTAACTCAGTTCATCTAAACGGCGTTATGTTGCGTAATTTAACGGCGTCTTGGGGGAGGTTTGTCTACTTGCGTCGTCAAAAGATAATAGGGGTTTATCCGTTTAGCGGCGCTAAGAAAAAGTAAGGTAAGGCAAAAAATATTCACATATTTTTTATATTTTCTTTAAGACAAAGTTCAATATAATGTCTGGATTTATTTATTTATTTGCAAATATACAAATATCACCACCCTCTTAAGTCTTAACTCACACGCATTATTTTATTTTTAAATGTTTTATTTATATATTTTTTTGGTGATCCCGATTTAGATCCTTTAACATTATTGTTCAGAAGAAATATAAATTTGATGTATATTGCAGCAGTGGTCAGTGGATGACCTCCATGTCTTTTGAAGCCTGTAAAAGTACATTCTCACATTATCTTTTCGTCTGTACTCATTCTCAAACTATTTTCTGGATAAAATCTAAAATACTAATCTAATCATAATTAGAAGGTGGCATATATACTTTAATTGATAAATAATACTATACTTTCCTCTAGATCAATGGATTCTTCTTCAACTATACTTTCCTCTAGATCAATGGATACAATTAAGTTTCTTAAAGAGAAAAAATTGAGTATTTCGGAAACGAGCAAAATATATCGTGGATTATAGGAACTCAATCTTTTATCAACCACTCGCGTGACCAGTGAAACAATATATATTAGTTTTATAGTGGTCATGAATTAGCTAGCAAGAGAAAATTGATTAGTTTTACACTGGTGACGAGTTTAGCTACCTAAATGATACTCATATGCAAAGACATATTTTTCAATATGTTAATAAACTTAACAAATATTCGTATAACTTTGATAGTCATGCGTAATGCACATCTTTATTACTTTATATATAATTGTTTATACGCGTGGTGGGAAGGGTTGCCACAATCATGACCGTAACGAGATAGCCATACGATCTTACAATAACAACAGTTTTAAATGGAAATAAAGACGCCTAGCGGCGGTGGCATAGATACATATACAATATGCACTGATTTTTTTTGTCAGAAGTCCAGATGAATCACGAGTTGATAATTTCCATGTATATTCTATTGGGTGGGAAGGGGGGGGTGAGGAATATGTATACAGTATGAAATATATCAATTATAAACTCGCATATATATGCTTTTCAATCTCGAAAATATGTGAGGTTACTTCTTCTTTTTTTCTTTCGAAAATGTAAGTTATATACATAATATATGTCATATACAGTTGTATTTATAAGAATATCTTATGCACAACTAAGTAGACTTAATAAATAAAAGAAAGGGTGTATGGCTATATAGGATAATCCAACATATCATTAGTGTTAGGTCACAAGAAGAATAGTATATAGAATAGGGAAATAGCAAAAGAAAGGAACACTCTCACATGCACTCCACTTTGTCTCGTGAGTTGTTAGGTTATCTCTAAACACGCTTTCTCCATCCCTAACATATATTAGGCCCATGAATTTATTTAATAAATACTGAATAAAACGTATTCAATAATCACTAGTTAGAATGTTTCTCTAGAAATAGAATGAACTGAACACAAACTTTATTAATATTGTTTACCATGTTTACAATAGCTAAAGTTAAAAAAAAAATGCTAATAATGGCTATGATTGTTGTTTGCTGCGTACGGTTAATTAGTGTCAGAAGAATCAATATGTAGTGATATCCTTAACAAATAACAGTATACATATGTGACATGTCCATTGTGTTTAGAGTAAGAATGATTAATGCAGACCATACTTCATGGCACATAAAAAGAATAAAAAGATGACCGCATCAAAACACGTGACTGAGGGGGGCCTAGGGGCGACGGCGTTTTAATGGTAGAGAGGAGGCCACGTGAGCTGGTGGGTCGACTCACGTGCCAAAACTATTACAATATCAAGAGTCGGCGGGAGTGAGGACAATCGAAGGGGCACTTTGGTTATAAGATAGACCGAACCCAATAGTTCCAAGTTAATTTTTATGCGTGTGTGTTAGTGTCAAAATTAACGACCAATGTAGCTTCTTTAGTCTTTGTCAATACTTGATATCAGTCAAAGTTCACCCCTTGAGGCAGCCACTCCGTGACAGTAGACGTTACATAACATAAGGATAGCTCGAGATCTCGACAAATGTAGAGGCGAAGAAAATCTTCTATATTCTTTAAGACCCATCAACACAAGATTCAAGATTTTAGTTTGACAAATAAAATTGCACAAGAAAAAATTAGACTCAAAATAATACAAAACAACCTTTTCAAAATAATAAAAATAATAACGAATTACTTAACCAATAATTAAAAAAAAAAATTAGCACAAGACGGCAATTCATCTTAATACATATCTCTTTATAAATATTGGTCTTTCATCATCAAAATCTGAAGAGATATAAATCCTTTTACATTTTGGATAGATAAATGTGTTTAGTTTTCCTTAACGTAGTTGCAACCCTATAAAATCCTGAGATTGTATTACTCTATAACTAGTCTACTTAGCTTAAATTTTTATTTTTATTAATTAGTTCTAGATAAAATAATTGAAGATTCCATCATCACATCCCAGCAGGTTCATGTACACACAAACACTTGATATAAATTAATATTAATGTATTTTAAACAAGGGGAAATATTACTAGGATCTTTAGCAAATTCATCCCCTCCAGTTTTGTAATATAATAAAAATAGGATTTAACATTGAAAATAATTGGAGATGCGAGAAAGTCGATGATATTTTAAAGACCCAAAGCCAGTCTCTCATAAGGTTTGATTGTATAACTGATAATAGAATAGTGTTACTAAACTAGTATATATGTCGTAAACCTAATTTATTAAAGTATTATGCTTTTCCAGATTATATTGTATTACAACCTTTTTTTTTTGCTTAAATTTGGGTGTATTACAACCTCTACCCTTGCTTAGTTAAATAAATTGGTTATCGTAAAAAGCTATTTTATATACAAAATAGTGTATGGAACTGAGCTGGGAGCATCACATATATGTGTTAACTGTCTTCTTTCTCTTTTCTTTTTCACTTTTTATGGACGCAATTAGTTGTCCCTAATCATTATCTGTTTTATCTTCTTCCTTACTCATACAATTAGTTTAATGGTCGACATGGTGTAAACAAATTTCCTTACAACATGGATATTCCTTTCCTCATGAATCGTCTTAGGGATCAGTTAACAAATATATCCTCTCTCTCCCATTTTTCTTGTTCCGTGTCTTGTGATAAAACTAGGTTAAATAATTAATGAATGATACGTTTTCATTCAGTAACTACGTTAACTTAAATTAAACTCGGATCAAAGTATAATAAAAAAGATAGAAAGACTGAGACGTGGCATTTCATTGACGTAAGTCGCACCGTATCACGTGATAAGAAACTTTTAATTGCCTACCTCACCTCTCTCTGTCACGTGGCCAACTCAACCTTCTCTATTATTGCGGGTCCCGCTTTAGTGTTTTACAGTATTTTTTTTTGTAATTGGTTTTACAATATCCTTTTTTTTTAGTTTTACGTATTAATTAAAAAAGTGTGGAAATAAAAATTCATAACATTCTCCCTTAATAACAACCTATAAGTTGACAGAAAACAATATATTTTCTTTAGCAAAAACACAACGTATATTTCACCAGAAAAAAGAAACAACGTATAAATATCAGCGTTGCATATATATATTTTTTTTAATTTAAAAATCTACTTTGAGTATTACCAAAACTGGACTTGAAATTGAAGGAACCATAAAAAATTAAAGAACCATAAATATTTTAATTACTTTCATTGTTTTTTTTGATAATCAATGGATTATACGATCAATTTATGTAGAATAAATCTATTCTATTAAAATAGAGTCATTCTTTTTATCTACTAATACAAGTTGTCATTTAAATTTAGACATTTTCTAGAGTGTTACAAATAATATAAGTCATATAACTAATTGAACCGTATTACTTAAACTAAACCGGTGGTTATTTATGAGATATAGTCTTGGGCTTACTTTTATTTTTAGAATAAATTATATGATTTGGTTTTTGGGCTTAACATTAAGGAAAAACTCCAAAAAACATTGTATAAACTTTCCACCTTAATGGATCAAAAATCAATTATTTTTTCAGGCCAAAAGGTATTTAAAATTTTTAACAAAACAAAATTGTCTATTATTAATCATTTATTTAAATCATGTACTTAACATTTTTTTTATTTTAAATAACAATCCCTTTTTTGATAAATTTCAATGGTAACTTTTAAATAATATATTTTTTTATTTTTCTTAAATAATTTAATGATTTAAAAAAATATGTAAAGCAAAACCAAAAACTAAATCTAAAAACTAAAATCCAAAATCAAAAGTTGAAAACGCAGATTATATTTTTTGCTTTTGTTTATTTACAAAATAAAATATTGCAACTTTTTTTTAAAAAACTTTTGTCATCTTTTCAGTTTTAAATTAGATGTTCGATTATTTAAGATTTGTTTGTTGGTAATATCAATTCAAACTAACTCAACGGATTTAAAAATTAAAAACCCAAACCAAAAACTGAAAATCAAAAATAGAAACTTAAAAACTAAAACCCAAAAAATCTAAATCTAAAACAAAATCTAAAAATAAAAATTGAAACTAAAAACTAATAAAAAACAATCATCACCATAAATTTTGGTGAACTGATTTTATACCAAAACATTCTTTAAATTAAAGATAGAAACCCAATTATATAAGTTTTTAATTATAAAAAATTTCCGCGCTTTTAAGCGCGGATCAAAATCTAGTTACTCTTTAAAAATGGAAAACAAAGGTGAATATTTCATCTAGTCGTAACTATGACCGACCTAGAGTATTACATTAAGTCATTACCTAAGTTTTGGACTTGTATATAAGTCTATAAACATATCACTTAGGGGACATAGAAAATCGG